GAATTGGGGTTGAAAAGGATGAACATAAGGCATTTATTTATTATCAAAAATCTGCAGAGATGGGGAATGTTAGTGGAATATGCGAAGTCGGAAATTGTTATCTTTATGGAAAAGGAGTTAATATCGATGAAAAAAAGGCATTTATTTATTACGAAAAATCCGCAAATATTGGAGCATTATCTGGAATTTCTCAGGTTGCATATTGTTATAGAAACGGAATTGGAGTAATAAGAAATGTACAAAAATCTAATGAATGGTATCAAAAGTAATATCATAGTTTAAAGTAATAATTTTTTAATTGCTATTAAATCCTATTTATAATGCTTTATTTTGATTTATGATACAATAGAGAAAATTTTCAGTTATCGGAGTTATCAGGTAGTTTATTATTCAATTTTATTTTTTACTTGCTATATATTATTAAAATCTAACTATTGAATTTTAGTGACAAGTGACTGGATATATAAAATTCCCGATATTGATGATAGTTTAAAAAATATGTTGATTAATAATAACCATTCGCTATTATGGATTCCTTATAATGAATTTAAAATTTCTATGGAGATAGGAAAAGGCGGATTTGCAACAGTATACGTAGCTAAGTGGAATGACCAAAATCGAAGAATAGAAACTAAAGTTGCGCTTAAACTATTACATGGATCAAACAAATATCAGGAAGAGTTTATAAAAGAGGTAGGATTTTTTTTATTCCTATATATATATAAATATATATTAATTAATTTTTTTCAAACATTAGTTAAAAGCATATTGTGATATTGGTTATAAAAATCCATCATTTATTAAATGCTTTGGAATATCAAGAGATGATTCTTCTAAAGATTATATTCTTATTTTGCAATATGCACCGATGAGATCCTTACGTACTAATCTTCACGAAATAGCACAACTTAAGTGGAGAGATAAAATAAATTTATTACTTTGTATTGCATCGGATCTTCAAATAATTCATTCTCATGGACTTATTCACCGAGATTTGCATAGTGGTAATATCTTGCAAGATAATTTATATAGTGCATATATTGCTGATTTAGGACTTTCAATACAATCCAATATAGCATCTGAGATGGAATCAGAAGAAATTTATGGAATTTTACCATATATTGCACCCGAAATTTTTGATAAAAAGCCGTATACTACAGCATCTGATATCTACTCATTTGCCATAATTATGTGGGAAATTTTATATGGTAAATCAGTATATTGCGATCGAGAATTTAATCACCAACTTCAAATAGAGATATGCTGTGAGAACTTGAGACCAACTATCATTAAGGATATACCACAGTGCTATATAAATTTAATGAAAAAAAGTTGGAAAAAATGTCCAGAAGACCGTCCAACAGCCGAAAAAATTTATGACACTTTTACGAAATGGAAAGATGACGAAAAAATATTATTGGAATTATCTGAATCAGAAAAAGGATTAAAAGATGATTTGAATATACATGATCCAACATACATTGAATCAAATTATAGAAGTAGATCTTATTACTCTACAGATCATATTCTCAAGATTGTCGAAGCATAATATTGAGTCCTGATGATCCAGATATCTATATTTGTAAGTTACATTAAGTAAAACCGAATTCTCCACACAAACATATAAATATACTTAACACTAAAATTTTATGAATGTCTATTATCGGAAACTAGATATAAAATCTTTATTGATCAGAGAGGACTTCAGTTTTTTTGATTTTGATAAGAAGCTGGTTGCATTCAAACCTACAGGAAACTATGTCAACTTATACTATTTTTATATAATCGCGGTTTACCTTTCAATTATAATTTAAAATTTATTTCTTGATTTTACTAGTATAATTTGTTTCAAAGAACTCTTTTAACGTGAACTTCTTAATATTGCATAAAAATATATTTTGAACTTCATTTGCAACCACATGAACTTTTTGCACGAACCTAGTATATTCCCCTAGATAAAAGTTACGTCACTAGGTTTAAATTTAAATGCAGCTTAATGTATTTGTCGTACATCGGAACGGACATATTGTATATTTAGAATCCATTTAGGTTGGACGGAATTCCAAATGTAGCCCAAGTCGGTACGAAATTTAAAAGCAATTTAAGCCGATTCTAAATTTAATACTATAATCGATGAATTTAATAGGATTTATTACATTATATTGTCATGATAAAATACAAGTCTTTTATTTTGCTTTTTTCTTATTCATTCTTTGCAAAATTCTTTACATGATGACTGAATCATTTTTTACCTCGTAATACATTCGAAGAATTTCTTTCCAAATATTTTAGTCACAAGTCGGCGAATAGCTTTTATAACACGTGAGAACCTTGATTTTATTTTTGTATTAAGATTTTACAAGATCCAGCAAATATAATAATCGAAGATACTAAAGATCGAACTTATTAAATCTGATTCAAATCTACTTGCGTTCATTGAGTCTCGACAAGTTTCCAGAATTGAATAGTATTCCTTCAACGCTCATAAGCATTCTTAGAAGCGTTTTATTATGCACTCCTCTTCACAGGTAGGTAGCATTAAATGCAATTGCAAAAATGCGTGTGATAGAACTCATTGTAAATGTAAAAAATTGAAAGGACCCTGTGGGAGTAGTTGTCATCTCACTTTTCATAGATGTAATGCTTTTAAACTTAATTAATTTACATGCACAATGTTATGCGACTTAAATTCCAAATAACGTGCTCGATGAAATAATTTGGAATATACTTATTTTGTTGTAAGTTGAATTGGAATTCTTTAAAAACTCCAGCAGATTTTAGAATTCTTTTACAACTTATGTTTATTCGGAATAAACCTAGGTCTTTCTAAATCTACGGTAATTCCATTTCGACGTACGACATATTTATTTATCAGTTTTAATAACGTAGTTTTTACTTATTGCTTATCGTTCTAATTGTTGATAATACATTATTAAGCGAAATGTCCAAGTATTATTAAAAGGACGATATGAGAAAATGATCACTAGTGAGATAGACAACGAGAAAAATTCTATCAGCAATGAGTTTTTTGTCAAAATCTTACCTAGGTGAAGACGTACATACGTACAAGTGTTATTTAAATAATTTATAATACATTATGTATATTGGCAAACGCCTTTACCTCCAAGCTGTCTAGGCTTCTGCAACAAAAAAGAAATGGCTAAAAATTATTGAATCAAATTTTAAGCCGATAGACGAATGGCTAATATAAGAAAACCTAGATGGAAGAAACAAAATACGATTTGTTGGAATTGATATTATCATTATTGATATTTTTGTACTCTATTGGAATTTTGTTTGCTCTAATTCATTACTTATTGCCTTGTTAGGTATTTTTAATATTAAATTTTATTAGCGTTAATTTTATGAATACATATTTTAACATTTTAATTTAATGATATACATGTGCCTCAGATCGAATTAGAATTAGAGTTAGGGTAAGAATTAGGTTATAGTTTAGGCCAATTAATGTCAATTAGTTAATTACTGCCAAACAATCAACACCTAAGGTGCCTCAGTTATCACCCAAGGCAAACCCCGATTTGAAGCACAATATATAGATCTAATAAGGTTATTTTAACTTGCACCATTGGTTATAAATAACCAGGGGGTACTATATTACACTAGGAAATGAGGGTCGGATATACTAAGTAAAATCGTGTAGTACTAATTCGGCTCATTATATCTGACCCTTACCCTAATTTTTACGTAACTATTCTAACCCTAACTTTTAATAAAGAACCACTTTTTTATAAAAAAAAATTAATATTTAATAGAAATGGTTAATGCTAACTAGTGGTGCAATTTATAATAATTCATTTTAAAATTTTAAAATTTTAATATGTTAAAGATCTTTAGATAAAATTTTGATATATTATAATTGTATAACAATCATATATATTTATTCATATTAAATATCAAATAAAAACTGTCTTTTTAAATTTAACTGAATATTGTACCAGGTTCATTTAAATATTATATAATAAATATTTTAATAAAAAGCAACAAAAAATGAAAAAATGAAAACAAATAATAAAAAAAATAAAAGATAAAAAAATAAAATAAAAATAAAAGAATAAAATAATAAAAATAAAAAAATAAAAGTATCAGAAAAAAAACAAATAGAAAGAAAAAATATTAGTTTTTAGGAAAAAAGATCAAAAAAATAATAAATACATGCCCAATAAGTAACAAATAATAAAAACCAAAAGAAACCAAAATCGTAATTTATTTATATAATCAATCTTAAATACAATCGATTAATCATATAAAGGTCTCTATGACGACGCCAATTCATTTTTGCCTTTAAATCGAAGCATATATAATTATAAAAACATCTATAATTTAAAATATATAATTTACTTTAATTATATATATAATTGATAATGTATTGTAACATAAAATTATTATTCATGCTTCAAAACATGATATCTTACAATTATTCGGTGGTTACTATTGATCATGTTATTCATGTTAATACTATATCACAGTATATCATATTCATTCTATGTTTGAGCTGATTCGAAATTTTAATATTTTCTTTTTTGATAATATATTTTAACTTAAAGATTGTTTTAATCCATATAAAAAAGGTCACTAAGTAAAAAAAAGGAAAAAACAAAGAGAAAGAAACCACATAATACATAAACTAAACTTTATAAAATAACAATAATTTACATTATTAATATGAGTAACATTTCTGATAAATATTAATTATATAATCATTCAAATCGTTTCAACAAGAGAAATCTAATAATCCTGAAATTATTAAAATTCAATCACAGAATCTTAAGGTATTTTTTATTTTTCAATATTTACTATTTAGCAAAAAAAATACAAAATAATGTTTTTAATTAATGCTAAACCTATATATATATTAATATTATCAATTTATTATCAAATAGGTTAATATTGGCTGTCATGTACCAAATTGTTCCAAAATTATAACCTATCAACCTATATATTAGCTTAAGATTTATATCATCTTATTTGATATTAAACTAATAGGGACTTGTGTTTGTATATCCATTCTAAAAAAAATAATTATAGCTATTAAAATATGTATTAGTTATTAAAGGATTGTTCAAAATCTTGGTAAACAAAATTCAGATCTGCTATGCTAACAACGATTCTATCTGGATATCTATCGAAATTTCATAATGATTACCCAACAAGAAGTTTTAATAGATGCAAATACAAAATATTATATAATATTAATATTTAAAATTGCAATGCTTGAGGCACAATGCCGTGTTCAATAAATGCTAAGACCTCATCTGCCGCAATACAGACTTTCCAACCTTCTTTATGCACATCCATCCATTCTTCTACCAACTCTACCAACTCTAAAATACCATCATTATATGGAGTTAGAGAATGATCACAACCACCAGCTTTAACACCATCCATGATAATTGCGGAATCATTTATATCATTCCTAATAATTTCACCTAATCTAACAATTTCACCTTGTAATTCAACAATTTCAGTTTTTCTACCTGATCTAAAGTCCTGAAGCATCGAAGGAGTCATAGTTTTAACATCCATTTTGAGAACTTTGGTAATGAAAAAATCAGCCAATAAATCTGGAGCGTATAAAACATAAGGCATGAACCTTATGGGCATCAAGCGATTAAAAGAAGTAAATGGAATTTCCGAGTAATCAAGCATTTCCATAGCCTCCCATTGACACATGGCAAGTATACGACGATAAGTTTCAGATTTAAGAACCAGTTCAGCAGAACCGCTTAATGCAGTTATAGCATTTCCTAAGTTTAGTAATAGTTTACCATATTGAACGCTTTTTATGTTGGAGGTGATTATAAGATTGACACCAGAGTTAGATAAGATGGAACTAAGCGAATGCGTAGAGGGAGTTGATTGAATGAAAATAACACCATCGGAACTTTGAGTGAAGTTACAATGAGAGGTATAATTTATGTTTTGAACTATCATTCCACCTATTACTTGGGAGTTGGGAAAGTTTTTTTGGATTAAGTCATAATTTCGAACACCATTTTGAATTGATACTATCTACAAATAATTGTCATTGAAGATTGAATTATTAATAATATTAGTAAAATTTTAATTATTAATAATATTATGAAAATTTTAATTATTAATAAAAAATAATACATACTTTAATTTTGCCATCTAATTCAGCGATTTCTTTCATAGCCTCAATAGTCTGAGTTACTTTCAACGTTACAAGCACATAATCAGGTTGAAATTCGATTAACTTTTTTGCATCAGTAACGTAATTGACATGATCTTTTGGAATCACAATTTTTGATCCATCTAAAGTTGTTAATAATATTCTTTCCGATACATTTAAGTCATCGAGTAACCTTTGTCTACCAACTAATAATAATTCAACCTTTTCATTCACATTTGTTTTTTTATTTGAAACTGGATGATAATGATGAAGGATTTTGGCAGCTAAGAAGAATCCTATATTACCACAACCTAAAATTGCTACTTTGACCATTACCGTTTAAAATATTATATATAGTTTTTAAATTTGAGAAATACAAGAATGGAAACCTAAATTTTTCATGTTTTTGACATTTTTAATAAGTTAACTAAATTAAGCATATTTGTGAACCCGTAATACATGTGAATGTATGTATTAATGTGCAACACCCAGTTTAGTGATTCCGATAACTAGAAAGTCTATTAATGCTGTAGGTTTAATATAAGGTGCCGGTTTGGTTAAAATTTTGATCGATAGGGATAATACGTATGTATGTATGTAATTAATCTAGTAGTTCGTTCTTGGTATAGGACTAACCTAAAAAAATTCGCTACTACAGTACTATAACAGTAGTGTTGATGTTACACCTGATCTTATTTTGGATAGGTTGGGAGTACAAGAAATTTTTGGGAACGTTTTCCTAAAGATTACAATTGGTTAGCATTAACGTAATTTATGATTTATATCAATCGTAAATGTGACGGCGAAGACTAAATTCTTAATTCGGTAAGGTTAAGGTTAAGGGTTAGGATCTAGAGGGGAATAGTTAATATAGCAAAATTATTCAACGAAAACCTTTTGTTAAAGCACAAAAAGTGGTTTCTTATGCTGATTTTTGATCGATAAGCAATTTTTGGCAGAACGAACGTTTGTTTTGAATCGTAGTTCAGGAGATCTGCGCCACCAACCTTGTACATATTTACATGCAATCAAATCAAATAATTTTCATTATGCGAAGCTTTAATAGATCGCATGATAAGGACATGCCCACGAACTCAGTGGTTCAATCATCCTAGATCTGATATGAACCACAAAGTACAATTTTTATAATTCTATAAAGTTATATATATATTACATATAAAAATGTTATGTCCCCAATATAGACTTAAACCCCTAATTTAAACTTTACATATAATCCTAAGTTAATATTTAAATTACAACTTCTTTGCAATTTTACATAATTCTATATAGAAATATATATAGATTTATGTAAATATATATTGGGTTTAGAAAGGTTTTATACGTTTAAGTAACAATTCTGCATTACATAAAAATTTTACATAAATCTATGTAAAAATATTCTTGGTAATCTGAAGTGTAACTTTGATTAAAGGGTTATTGACTTATTCTATTCTATTCATTAATCGGTTTTTACATACGTATTGCTACAGAATTCCAATCTGGTTTATACGTAACTGTTTGATTAATATCAATATACATATATATTTTAAATTTATTATTATTGTAACAGAATTTAAACAAAGGTCTAGAATTTAAAGTAAATAAATTTATATAATTTTGTTTTGATGTATTGCATGTTGTACGTTGGAATGGAATTACTGAGATTTAGAAAACCACCTAGGTTGATTTAAATAAACATTTTTTATCTTGCCAATTTATCGTGACGATATGATGGAATCTATTGTTGTCAATCTATTACACATCTATTAAATTTCTCAATTATTACACTATCAAATTTAATTTAACATTAATAATACAGTAATAAATTAAGCTGTATTTAAATTAAAACCCAGTGATGTAACTTTCATTCACGTGATTACAAATTAAGTTCAGGCTGTATTTTTATGTAGAATTAAGAAATTCACGTTAAATTCACGTTAAAAAAAGTTCATTAAACCAAATTACGCTAGTAAACTCTCAAAATAAATTTTCATTATAATTAAAAGGAAAATCTTGGCTATATAAAATTAGTAGAAGTTGATATAGTTAGAGTCTTCTGATCAATAAAAATTTTACATCTAAGTTTCGACAATAGACATTCATGAAATTTTAGTGTTAAATAATATTTATATGTTTTGTGTGTAGAATTCGGTTTTACTTACAAGTTTAGATATTTGGATAATCAGGACTCAATATTATGCTTCGACAATCTTGAGAATATGATCTGTAGAGTAATAAGATATACTTCTATAATTTGATTCAACATATGTTTGATCATGTATATTCAAATCATCTTTAAATCCTTTTTCTGATTCAGAAAATTCCAATAATATTTTTTCGTCATCTTTCCATTTTGTAAAAGTATCATATATTTTTTCAGCGGTTGGACGGTCTTTTGGACATTTTTCCCAACATTTTTTCATTAAATTTATATAGCATTGTGGTGTATCCTTAACGATAGTTGGTCTCAAGTTTTTACAGCATATCTCTATTTGAAGTTGGTTATTAAATTCTCGATCGTAATAAACCATTTTTCCATATAAAATTTCCCACATAATTATGCCAAATGAGTAGATATCAGATGCTGTAGTATATGGCTTTTTATCAAAAATTTCGGGTGCAATATATGGTAAATTTCTCCTGATTCCATCTTAGATGCTATGCTAGATTATATCGAAAGCCCTAAATCAGCAATATATGCACTATATAGATTATCTTGCAAAATATTACCACTATGCAAATCTCGATGAATAAGCCCATGAGAGTGAATTATTTGAAGATCTGATGCAATACAAAGTAATAAATTTAATTTATCTCTCCACTTCATTTGTGCTATTTTGTAAAGATTTTCACGTAAGGATCCAATCGCAAATTCCAAAACAAGAATATAGTCTTTAGAAGTGTCATTTCTTGATATTCCAAGACACTTGAAAAACGAAGGATTTTTATCACCAATATCACAATATGCTTTTAACTTAATATTTAAAAGAATGTAAATTAAAGAATAAAATATATCTGTAATGGATTAAAAAAATGTTACCTCTTTTATAAACTCTTCCTGATATTTGTTCGATCCATGTAATAATTTAAGCGCAACACTTCCTGATATTTGTTCGATCCATGTAATAATTTAAGCGCAACACTTCTTACTGTTCTTTGAATTTGATCATTCCACTTAGCTCCATATACTGTTGCAAATCCGCCTTTTCCTATCTCCGTAAGAATTTCAAATTCATTATAAGGAATCCATAATAGCGAATGTTTATTATTAATCAATATATTTTTTAAACTATTATCAATATCGGGAATTTTATTTATCCAGTCATTTGTCACTAAAATTCAATAGTTAGATTTTAATAATGTATAACAAGTAAAAAATAAAATTGAATAATAAACTACCTGGTAACTCTGATAACTGGAATTTTTCTCTATTGTTCATAAATCAAAATAAAGCGTTATAAATACGATTCAATAGCAATTAAAAAAATGATTACTTTGAACTAGGATATTACTTTTGATACCACTCATTAGATTTTTGCACATTTCTTATTACTCCAATTCCGTTTCTATAACAATATGCAACTTGAGAAATTCCAGTTAAATCTCCCATATTTGCGGATTTTTCGTAATAAATAAATGCTTCTTGTTCATTCTTTTCAACTCCGTTTCCATAAAGATAACAATTTCCGACTTCGCATATTCCACTAACATTCCCCATCTCTGCAGATTTTTGATAATAAATGAATGCCTTATTTTCATCCTTTTCAACTCCAATTCCATAGTCATAACAATTACCAAGTGCAAATATTCCACTAGCGTTCTCCATCTCTGCAGATTTTTGACAATAAATGAATGCCTTATGTTCATCCTTTTCAACTCCAATTCCATCTCGATAACAATTACCAAGTGCAAATATTCCACTAGCGTTCCCCATCTCTGCAGATTTTTGATAATAAATGAATGCCTTATGTTCATCCTTTTCAACTCCAA